AACTGACTCGGACAAGAATCATTAATGGATGCTAAAACTAGTGGGTGCAAGTTTGATGAGTAACAGGGTATTTACATCATTTCAAAGAGTCTTCCCATAAGATATGTATTGATTATGAAGGGATAACATTGCTACAGTGTAGAAATCTGGGAGATATCACCTTAGCCAAGAGATCAACATTAATGTCACCAGTAATGGGACAAATAAACATTGTGTGCCTCCTGATACCATGCACTGAGCACATCACTTCTGGGGGCTTTCCTGCCAAAAGTCTGTAACCTGAAGCTAATCATGAGGAAACATCAGGCAAATCAAATTACAAATTTCCAACAAAATAACTGGCCCGTAAACTTCAAAAATGTCAACATCATGAACTACAAGGACAATAAGAAACTGTCCTCTCCTTCTATCTCCAAAGTAATGGAGACTAATAAGACGTGGCAACTGAATGCAATACATAATCTGAGAATTTATCTTCCTATAAAGGGCATTATTTGGACAATGGGAGAAATTAGAGTAAGGTATGTAGGTTAGTACTACATTAATATTAATTTCCTCTATTTTTAAAACTATTCTATGGTAAGTAAAGGGAATGTCCTAAACTTCTAGAGAATAAACACTTTTAGTATATAGGGGTATGTGACAACATGTCTGAAACTTACTGTCAAACAGTTTAGAAAACAATGTGTATGGTGTGTGGAAGGCAGATAAATATGGAGGAAATGGTAACATTTAGAAAATATGGATGAAAGGATATGCGTATTATTAATCCCATTCTTGCAATTTTTCTATTAAGTCTGAAATTATGTCAAAATAAGTAGCTAAAAGAAAAAAGTTAATGTATACTAAAAAGTTGCTAGTTTCAAAAGTCATATAGTAAGAGTAAGGAGTAATAGCTGGTATCTCCTATTCTATGAGGCTTTAGCCTAGTGGTTGAGACTGTGGACTTTGCTATTAGCTAGACCTCAGTTCAAGTCTCACCTCTCCCTACATGACTTAGGGCAAGTTGCTTCTCTGATCTTCTGTTTATCTGTTTTATGGAAATAATGTATAGGATTCTTGCAGAATACCATTGTCAAAAGCTTGTACTAAGAGACACCAATTCCAGAGACAGACTGTGTAGGTTTGAATCCCACTTACCAATTACTAGCTGTATGACCTTGGACGAGTTATTTAACCTCTCTGTGCCTCAATTTTCCCATCAGTAAATGGGGATGATGAAAGTATCTATCTCAAGGGTTTGTATGAAGACTAAATAAGTTAACTGATATAAGCGATTTACACAGTACCTGACACATACCCAGCAAGTACTGCATGCATGGTTATTTCCATTATTAGCCTAAGCCCCTACGGAATAAGAATTCAAAAAATCTTAGCAATCACTATCATTGTTAAGCATGTAATATCACCACTGCAGATTTTTAAAGAGGTTTGGTAGTAAAGAGAAAGAAAATTGATTTTTTTCCTAGAATAGGCAGAAGACCTAGCATGTTACCTAGATAAGATAAACAATACAGAAAGAAAAACTGAAAATGTGAGAGACACAGAATCATTTATGAAATAAGGACCTCAATTTTCCTTTTTGTAAATGTCATCTAAGGATTTAACAGCATAACTTTAAAAGTTACTTTAAATGAAACTGTAAGATACTATATACATATATATATCTTTAAATATAAAAATCTGAATACAGAGACACAAAAACTTTTATATTTCTTCTGTAAAATGCAGTTTCCTTTAGTACTTACTAGGCTTTAAGATATTTAGCTTCTTTTTCAGTGATCCACCTACAATCTTCCTTTGCCCCCCAAAAGTTCATTTAAAATGAAATTTTAAGCAAAATACATGAATATACAGAGTAAGGAAAGGTTACAAACAAGCAAAGCCTTTTCTTTTTAATATTTTTAAATTTCACCTTTGGACTAATTATCAACAATATCCACAGGAAAATAATGCTAGTAGATGTCTAATGGACCAATATGAAAATATGTCTAAATATTAAGAAAAAACATGTTGCACAGTAGTTTGAAAATATGTATTTGTATATGTATAGAAAAAGTTAAGATTAAAGGTGAATAAATTTTTTTACTTCAATTTCCATCTTTACAGAGCAACTGCTATGTCTCAGACACCCAAAATTAAAGAAAAATCAAAAAGGAAAAGTAAAATTGAAGGCACAATGGAATATTCTCATTTCAATCTGCCTAAAAAAAGGGACATAATTCAGATCTAGAGAGCCAATCTTAACTCATTAAACATGTCCTGTCTGTCAGTGAAATGAGTACCACTACACTGAGTTAATTTCACAAAGATGTATAGAAAGTTCAGCAATTTATAATGTAGTTACATAAAATCATAATAAATTCATTTATTTAAATAATTTTACACATTATTACCCTAAGAGAACAGAAAATAACTGTCCAACTACCAAGTAAACTATAAGGGCCTTATCAGTTAAAACACATTCTAATGAATTTGATTTAAAAAAAATGATTCCTTGAGAAACCATTTTTTTTCTTTTCTTGAAAATTCCATATCATTTTCAAGAAAAAAAATCCCTAGTAAAATCAACAGTTATAGACAAAAAAAAAAAAAACCCCACAAAAATCTAAGCTTAATACCAAAATAGTTAACTATTTTTATAGGGAAATGTAGCTCACTGGGCCCTCATTTTGGAAGGTGCACTGAGAAAGATGTCACGGAAAAGAGGGAAAAGAGGATTCGTTACCATTATCACCAGAATCTTGACGCCTGCAATGTATTTGTTTCTATCCTGTAATTTCTCTGCAAATCTACCTTAACCAGAACATTAAACAACTATTCCTGAATGATCTTCATTTCTCTGTGATGTCAAGATAGTTACCTTTCCAGCACTAACCACAGACTGATACCCAAGTGGAGGACCATGGGTATATGGTAGATGGTAATGGGGGAGCCAAGCTAAAATCCAACAGGAACCATCAGTCTTCTTGACTTTTCTGCTGCTTTCCACTCACCAAGGTGAAGAAAGAATAAGGAAAAACAAAAACAATGGAAATAAGGAAAAGCTGAGGTTTACTGTATACGTACTATACCCCTACTACTGCAAAATATCATTTCGTTTAATCTTCCTGCAGTATAGATGATGACTTTGAAGTCTGGGCAGGGCCAATGACTTGGAGAAAGGACTCTCAGCAAGTAAGTCCTGGAGCTGTGATGAGAATCCAGTGAGCAATTTAAAACCTGTGCTCAAATTTTTCTATGTCACTCAACCTCTCTGGCAACAGACTATGTCTAAAAAATTAGATCTTAAAAAGATTATAACATTACCCCAGCAAAAAACAGTCACTCTCAACTAGCACTGAATGTCAATTCCTCTTAGAATTTGTCTATCTTAAAATGTCTTCTTGCATTTAGTTAGCTTGAATCAAGATCCAAACAAGGTCCCACTTCACTTGTGGAAGATGTATCTCTTAATGTACGACAGTTTTCTTTACTTCCTCCCCTTTCTTATTTTAAAATGTCATTTATAAAAAGGCATACCTTGGAGATATTGCAGGTTCGGTTCCACCACTGCAATAAAGCGCGTATCACACCAAAGTGAGTTGTAATCTTTTTGCTGGTGGAGAGTCTTGCCTTTATTTTGTAAAAAATGCAACATTTGTGAAGTACAGTAAAATGAGGTATGCCTGTATAGTCTACGGTAGATATAACATGTTTCTCTAGCTCCTTTATTTCCTGTAAACTTCTAAGGGCTTGGTCAGATTGTGGTTTACTTTTCTTCATTGTTGCTATAAGACTGCTCAGGTGGTACTGTTTACTCCCTACTGCATCACCTCAGGAGACATTTAATATAAACTTGTCTTATATTAGTGTCATAGTGTTTTCTAGATCCTTAGGTAATCTGAGTTCCTAAAAGCTTATCCAAGACCTATATTGACAGCAATGTGCATGTAATCAAGCTACCAAGTTAATCAAGAGTTGACTGAGAGACAACAGAGGTTATCAATCAGCAGCCAGGGAAGCAGGCCAGGAATTTTACCTCCCGTAGATAAGGAGCCAAAAAATAGAGATGAAGGATTTGACCAGAGATGGAGAGGAGGCCAGAGAGTAAACATGATGCTTGAAGAACAAGATACTGGGTTCCAATTACAGTCCTAAAAGACATTTTATACACTGTACCAATAAATGTTTCAAATAAATGCACAGAGAATTCAAGAGTTTTTTATGATGTTAGTTCACCAAAACAGCCTTACAAATTTTTCCACCTTTCTTGATTAAAAGTACTGATCTTTAAGCCAAAGGTTCTCAACTTGACTACAAGGTATATTATACTGGGAAGCATTTGGAATACTGAGGTGTGGGTCCCAATGGGTCTAAAATCGGGACCAGGTGAATAGCATTATTGAGAAGTCTTTCCAGGTAACTTTAATACGCAGCCATAATTGAGAACCACTGCTCTTAGCTAAGAACAACAATAGCAGCTAATATTTACAAAGCATTTATTATGTGTCAGGTACTGTTCTAAGCACTTTACATGTACTAGTTCATTTCCTATTTTAAAGTGAGAAAACAGAGAAGTCAGGTAACTTGCCCAAGGTCACATAATAAGCTAACAGCAGAGTAAGAATTTAATACCAGGAAGTCTGGATTCAAAACCCACACCGTTAATCCCCATGATATACTGTCTCCTAAACATGAATTATATTTGTTTTCTTCAACTGCAAATAAAATGATCAAAGAAAAACAACAAAAAAAATGAAATAACTTCTTTCTTCTTAGAAGTCGTAGAGTGGCATTTTGTTGCAAAGGTACCAAATGCAGGCTTATTAGAAAAGTAAATAGACTGGCAAGAACCTTCTCTTCCCGAAAGAAGATTCAAATTTTAGATTTTTACGTTTTCAATAATTTGCCAACCTACACAACGTAGTTATACAAAGTTAAGTACCAAAAATTGCTTTAGTTTTAAAACTCAGGGCAATGATGTATTACATGTACTTTTTTACAAGAAAATTTCCTACCTATTTCAGTTCTGCTAACTCCAATTCCATTATAAATTCTCAAGTAGTTAAAATGGCATGAATCAGAATCTTCGATGTCAAAGTCACCAAATTTGATGCGCAATCTCTCTCCCATCTTTACCCGGATCTCCCATTCGCAAACGGTGCTGTTGGGATAGGTCTGTGGGTAGTTTATGGACGTAAGAGTTCCACTTTCAGGGCCTAGTACGGTGTGTCCACATCCATCACCTATAAAAAAAAAAAGTTAAAAAGAACAACAAATTATTCTTACATCTTTAACTTATACTATAAATAATTAGGATTTTTTGTGAAGATTTTAAAATATGTATGATTCTAGATATTTTATATCGCCAATACTCTTCCTTACACAAGATAAAACAGATGACAGTTCTTAGTACATCTATGCACAGGAGCCAAGTGAAGCGAAGTTAGGTTAAAATAATCAATGATTATCTTTACCAATTTGTGAGTTCAAAGAATCTTGCGATCTGAATTAGATTAAAAGTAAACATAACTTGGCAATAAATACAGATAATTCCAATGTTTAAGAGTAGCAATTCATAGTAACTGCTTTAAAGTAAATGTAAACTATAAAAACAAAAGTATGTGATAAGCTTCATCCATTTATTTACAAATATCTTGAACCTCTTTAAAATCTGAGAAATTGAATTTCTAAAAACAATATAAAGACTATACAATTATTAACCACATTACACACTGCAAGGCACTCCTTTTCGAAGGTATTAAAACAATATTTAATAAAGTTTAATTTTCTATTCTACTGAAATTTTACTATTGGGTAATCTCTCTCCAAGAGTCTCATTTTTCCCTATAGAATGAGAAAAATGTAATAGTTTAACGGCTTATTAAAGATTAGGAAAAATAACCTTCGAATCTTGGTAGCAGCATTATTTGCTTCAGAAATTTCTTCAGCAACTGGATATGGAAACCCAGGTAACTTAACAAATCGTTTATATTTGCACCCTTCTCTTTATTATAAAATGTTATTTTACTGAGCAGGAGGCATGTTATATTGATAAAGAAGTTTCAGCTGCTGCTTCAACTGTACCATTTAGCGTTCCTTAATGATGGATTTCAAAAAAATCTCTAATAGAGAGATGAATTCATCCTTTTAAAATGATAGTGTTTTCTCCTTCAAAAGAGCTATTTATAATCACTTTTTGGAACAGTTCAGTACTTACACAAAAAAACTATATTGAAAATGACACTGCTGGGTTTTAACCTTATGATGGATACAGATGTCTGTAATAGAATTTTCTATTATCTTGATTTATTATCTTTAAGAACAATGTAGTGCTGATATCGTATTAGAACAGATGAAAGCTTTAAAGGTCTATAAATAAGAACTTAATGTAGTAGCTAGCAAGTAGTAGTTGGAGAATAAATGTTACTAATGCGATGAATAAGGAAACTGTACATTAACTTATGAAAAAATAATTTCAAACTAGTCTCAAAACTAACTTTAATGAAGGAACAACGCTGTACCTAGATTCTGATAATACTTCATATCCTTTGTTGATAAAGAAATGAAATTTTATTCTCAAATCCATACTTAGTATTGTTACTTAATCTATTTTTAAAGGTTAGTACTAGTAATCTGGCTTCCTAAACAAATGTCATATAAAGCTTAGTTTTTAAGCAACATTAAACTACCTATCTTCTACACCTGCTTTTATCTCCCATATAAGAATAAGCATAGCTGCTCAATAACATAATATATACACATACTATAAAAAAAATGTAAATTCTTGTTATATACCCGTTGATCTTTTGCAAATATAAAACTTAGAATGGAATAAGACTCAGAGGCAAAAAAACCACCACATATTTTCCCTGAAACTACCATGAAAATACCTTGAATATCTCTGGTGTATCTCATCTAAATTGAAAACACAGAGATATAAAAACCTCCACTGTGAAAATAAGTGAATTCTAATTAAATAACATTTGAACAATCATTAACATTTTTCTTTAGAGAAAAAACAACTATTCTGAGACAGAGTTTCTAACATTATGAAACTAGCCTGAAATGTTCTCTTGCTATTGAAAAGATAAAAACCTGCTTTCTGGAAGTGTTTCAATCTTTTAAAAGCAGCCACTGAATAAATGAAATAACTCAAAGTATAAATGTATTTTCTTTAGTAAATAGAAAGTAAGGCAGATTTTTAAGTGACTGATGTGTTGATAGATTTCAAGAAGCCAAAGATTTCCTAATAACAGCTGAATTCATTACTCGGTAATGGCAGATTGTTGTGTTTAATGCATTCCTCTACTATTTTACTTAACATTGTGATTTTAAAATGAACTTTACAGAAGGAGTGCAAGTAGAGTGTTAGGAGTAATTTTTAGATGTCTTTATGTTTATATCTTTGTTAGTGTCAATATATACACAAAATGTTCCTTGTCCTTTCCTCCATAAAGCATAATTTCTACAAAAGTTAATGCAATAATTCTATCTGATGAAAAACAAGACTTTTGTGTGCATGATGATGAAAAAAACAATTAAAATGGAGCTGTCTTTTTCCAGCATCTTGTGTAGGGGGAGGGCACGAACAGTCCACAAGTAATGTGCCAAGAATGTTCTAAAATATGTGATGGAGTTCAGAGCTTCCTCCTCTTGAAAACAAGATACGCACCAGAAACCAAAATTAAAAGAAAGTCTCAAATCTACTGCAATGAACAAGTTTGAATGTTTCATCTTTCAAAGGCTATCTGATAAGTTTAACCTGACTAGATAAATTGCTTAGTTGGTCTGGCCAAATGCCTACTGCTGTGAAGTATATATTTAGAATATTCCAGTTTGAAAAGGGAAGTTGGGCGTATACATACTAACTAGGCCGGCAGTTTTTGAATGTTTTCCTGATATTGCAAAGAAATACATTTTACGCTGTAACCCTATACACTCTTGCACGTATATTCCTAATTCACTAAAGGGTCCCCCTCTGCAGTCTCGAAAACACTGTACTAGGGATCCAAAGGATATAATGTTGAATTCTCAAAGAAAGACCCTGTCCTCACTTTTACTCCCAAATTAGAAAATGTGCCCCCAGTTTATTTTTACAGTTCTTTAAAGTCTACTCTACAACAAAACACTTAAAATATAACAAAATATTTTAAAGTAAAACTAAAATCCAGACAGTACTCTTTATCAACAAAGCACCTAATACTCTTGGAGCGATGGTTCTAACTGGGGGGAAGGTCCCCACAGAAGTGATTTTATCTCCCATATGAAAATGTCTGGAGACATTTTTGGCTGTTACACTGGAGGGGATGGGTGCTACTAGCATCTAGTGAGTAGAGGCCAGGAATGCTGCTAAAATATCTTGCAATGTACAGGACAGCTCCTCCCCCGCCGCCAGAAAAAAAGACTGATCCATCCTAAATGTCAACAGTGCTGAAGCTGAGAAGCACAAAGGGCAGGCAATTTCAGACAGATCTGGGTTAGCTCTTGGCTGAGGTTCATCTGGCCCAAAAGGTGACTGTTTTGCTCGTTGTGGGTACAACCCAAGGAATAGTTGACCCTCAAAGGTCAACAGTTATACTAAAGAGTTTTATGTTCCCACTTCCCAATTGTTTTTCTTTTCAACATCCCGTTCTGCTGCTTCTTTGCCAAGAATCCTGGCATTGGCACAGGCCATGCAAAGACTGGCAGATGCCTTGAAGTTCTCTTCCTCTGTGATAACCATGGCTTTCTCCTTCTTGTAGCATTCTGTATGGGCATGACTGGTCCTGTCAGCTGGGTAGCCAATTTGAGTTCTTTAGCAGAGCTGTCTCCCTTCTTGGGGACCGAGGGCTTCCTGGGGAAAAGGATGAGCTTGGAGTGGTATGCAGTGCTCCTTCATGCGCTGCATGTTAGCCTGCAGGGACTCGGTGGACTTGTTCCGCCTCCTCGGATCCACTGAGATCCCAATGGTCTGGGCCACCTTCTCGTGGATGCTGGCCACCCTTAATGCCTCCAAGCTGAAGCCCCTGCCAGCTCACACTTTGATGTGGTACCTCTCTGTGGGGTATCTCTCTAAGGATCGGATGAGTCCGGGTGTGGGACGATGTGGAGCGCTTTGGCTTGCTGGGCCTTGCGTCTGCAGATCTTCCATGCCGGCTGCTTAAACCACATGGCCACACACCACTGCCAGCCCTTGTGGAAGTGGGGCTTCAGGATCATGCCACTTTGGCTGGGTGTCATGCCTGCTCCCTACGTACCTCCTCTGAGGGAGAACAGCCACCAGAAAGGCCAACTTCAAAATTTTTAAAACAAGTAAATAGAATGCTTTATTTTTCAAGTTAAAGGGAAAAAATCCTTTTTATTAGTTTACAGCCCTCCAATAATTTGTTTTTTGGGTCCAGAGCTCTTAGTGTTAGGGGGAAAAGGGTACAAATAGGGTCAGGAGTAATGGTACCCAATTTTTCTTAGATTTGTATATTGGAAACAATGATCTGTGGCTAGCCTATATTGCCTACTATTCTACTCAATTTCATAAGGCAGAATTGACAAAAAGAGCACAACTATGACTGGAAATATAACTTTCAAAATGAGTATCACAGGAGCAATCCAAATATTCTCATCAACAATGCCAACATCACCAACTCTTTCTCTAACTCTGTCATCACCACCATCAGTCAACTTCTCTTTCTGCTCCTCCCCTAGACTATAACTGACCATAAAGGGTAGAAGCCTGATAATGTAATTTTCGAATTTTATTTCAGTGGAGAAAAAATACTGGAATTTGATCTCACTGCTCCTTTGGCTGCAGATATATCTGGGGAATTACTCATAAAACATGCATTCATTTCCTCTGAAGAGTGTAAGGTCAGATGTGTTAAGCTAGATACAAATTTTGATATTGTTCCAGGAAAATAACTGAATTTTTTTTACTATTTGTCCTTAGAGAAAACAGAAAGAACATTAAACATATTTAAATAACAATGAATTAACACAAGGAACACATGCTTACCTTAGGCTGCTGTAAACTTCAAATCAAGTGGGGTTTTTTTTTTTTTTGATAAAATTTGTGATACTGATTTCAATTGACCCTCCAGCCACCCCCCGTATTTTAGTCACATTACTAAATAATATAAATTATCTTAATTGTTAAATTACATTAATATGAACACTGTGCAACTTTAAAAAATACTTTCTTTAACAAGAGCAAACAAATGCAGGAAGTTTGCAGAAATATGCCAATACTGTAGAACAATATAACTTTCAT